TGTATATATATGTATGTATTATATATATATATATATATATATATTATATATATATATATATATATATATATATATATATATATATGTATGTATGCATATATATGTATATATATTATATATACATACATACATATATACATATAATATATATATATATATATATATATATATATATATATATATATATATATATATATATATATATATATTTCACACCTTGGTAGCTGTACTGTCTGGTTTGTCTAATTGTATTTGTATTTATATTTCATGACACTGTGAACTACAGTGACAACAAACCTTTCAAAATATATAGGTAATTATCAAGCTAAAAAGGAAATTCTTCTTCTCTCCTATGATATCGTGTTTCTTATCTAAAGAAGGCAAAGTGGAACGAAGATAACACGAAAGGCCGTGTCACACAGCACTTTTTCCGCATTACTTTTCCGCTGCACCCGCGGAAGGAAATCGTGGTCATTGGGGCTCGCGCAGTCACACTAGCGACGAGAACCACGGAAACAGTTCGACCAAAATTTCTAGACACAAAGATGGGTTCAACCCCCGCACAGGCTCTGGCGATGAAGGACGTTATTCTGGCTATGTGGCGACGATTTAATGCGAAACAACGAATGTTAAGGTTAAATAAGGGCGTATTCTCGCCACTCTCATCTAGTCAGCTGACGGGGGCAAATGTAAACAAACAGGCGAGCAGCTAGTTACAAACTTGTATCTGTTTCTATTAAATACAAGAGAGAATTTTGCCATTTTTTTTATTAACGTTTTGTATTATATATATATATATATATATATATATATATATATATATATATATATATATGTATATATATATATATATATATATATATATATATATATATATATATATATATATATATATATATATATATATATATATATATATATATATATATATATATATATATATATATATATATATATATATATATATATATATATATATATATATATATATATATATATATATATTTACATTACTGTAACGATTATCTATTATAGCTTATCATTTGAACGAAAAAGACGACGGAAACGCAAGCGAAAACGATAATTATCGTTTGACTGGAATTTATCGCATTCACCCAAAATAAAAGCGGTAGCGAAAAAAAAAAAAAAAAAAAAAAAACACGGAACCACGGAAATTGTGCTAATGTGACACCCACTTAACAATGGCGCCAACGTGTTAACTGGCGTCGCGCGGATCGATCTAAAGCCTATAATAAAAATAATAAGTTAGAAAAAGAAGTTTTATTGTTCTGCCCTGTGAGCTTGAGTTCTGCATAATGGATATAGCTAGAATATAGAGACGATACTGTGGATACGGTAAATAAATTAATTCATTTTCTACTTCTATTTCTTCTCTTTTCTTAATAATTCGATTACGATTACTTTCAGATCGTCATCCTCCTGGGCCTGGCTGCCATCGCTGCGGCTGACAGCAGGGAATCCTATGAATATCTCCCTCCAAGGGTCAGTATGGAAGCATGCTTTATAAAAATCCATTCCGTATAATCCTTAATTTTACTCCTAGTAATGGCAATTATTTTTACTCATGCCGCTTTTGTATAACTGCAAATGAAAAGATATTTCCTTAGAATAAGGACCACATTAATAAGAATAATAGTTAGCTACCATTATTACTACTTTCTTTATCAAGTTCATTATTATCACCCGATGTTTTAATATTTTTCTCTTCGTTGTCAGAATCTATACCATAATAATACACTTGTGATGAGGCAAATACGTTTGGAGTAATGATAAAAGTAAACACGAAGTTTTACAACTACCCTTTAGCTTTCTCTAATCTATAATTACCATAGGTTTCCTCCGAGGAATCCGCTGAGTCCTACGAGTCCTCCGAAGCCAAGTACAGCTTCAACTGGGCCGTCAGCGATGACTCCTCAAGCAACGAGTTCGGACACCAGGAGGCCCGTGACGGCGAACACACTCAGGATCCTACTACGTGCAGCTCCCCGACGGCGCTGCAGACCGTCAAGTACTTCGTGGACGGCGACTCCGGCTACGTGGCTGAGGTCAACTACGAGGGCGAAATCTCCGACGAGTCTAACTCATCAGAGTCAGAGGAGGATTCGGCAGAATACGATTCATAATGAAAATATTAGCATAATTGTTAATTTTGTATTTCTTAAAATTGTATATACCTTCTAAGATATTATACTAGTCTATTCTCTTCTCTCAACATCTATTTTTCTCTCAATCTATGATGAGTCTTACTCTTTTGAGTCTGAGGAGGATACCTCACGATACGAGTCTTAAGAAAAAATAATGTATAAATACATTGACTGTTATCTTCCTTTGTTTTAAATAAATGTATAAGGAAACACGATTATTTCTCGTATTTCAGTATATTATTCCTAAAAAGTTTACTAACTGCGACGAAGTAACACAAAAGCCAGATGCATATTCTAACGAAACAAATTGAATCTAGAGTGTGGTTTTCCCTTTAGTTCTCACCACTGCTGGCCGTGAAAGACATTTCGTTGTTTACAATCTGACCATTTAGGGATAGAAGGAAGCGGCAATTGATTAAGCATGATAAAATTAAGTAAAAATGGTGAGAACCAAAAGATCTGTCATTGCAAGAAATAAAATATAGATTAGAGTACGTAGATTTATCACACAAATGGAAGCATACATTGAATTTCTTAAAAAATTTAAAATTGCACTCAAACACATGCTATCACGTTCACACACACACACACACACACGCACGTGTATGTGTGAAAGTGAAGAATTATCTACCAATTATTGTCCGTGTATTGTTTTTTGGATTGGGATTCGCTATCGTGATGATAATGACGATGATGTTATATATTTAATGATCCTATTTGTGATAACACTCATGTTATTAGCCCTACTAAACTTCAATATGCATACATAGCCACACCTAGACACATACATACATGTACGCACACATCTCTCTCTGTAGTAATTTCCATCTCTCTATGTATTTATATGGTTATATA